GCGAATGTTTCCGCCTGAGAACACAGTGGATCTTGCCATGTATTTGCTTGGGATAAAAAAGGGAATGATTTTCAAACCAAAGATCACTTTTCTGTTGTTGTTTTTCTGTTTGGTTTTCATCGTTTGTTTTATTTCCACTGAATTGATCAGTTTCTTTGCCAGCATGTACAGCAAAACTGTGGCATTTGCAGACGTTTGGCAGCTTCGCTCAGCCTACTGTTGAAGACTTTTATACCCAGTAAAGTTTGATAGTCCTCAACTTGGTGATTTTCACTTGTTTTTCCTGTCGTTTTTGATGTTCAAAATCCAGAGAAGAGAATTGTAAACAACGACACGTTAAAAATCGCTAGAAATGTATTGCTGAAACTGGCCACTTTATTAGGTACACCTGTTTAACTGCTCGTTAACACAGAATTCCGATCAGCCAATCACATGGCAGCAGCTCAATGCATTTAGGCTTTGAACGTGGCATGGTTTTCGGTGCCAGACGGGCTGCTCTGAGTATTTCATAAACTGCAGATCTACTGGGATTTTCACACACAACCATCTCTAGGGTTTACAGAGAATGGTCCGACAAAGAGGAAATATCCAGTGAGCGGCAGTTCTGTGGGCGCAAATGCCTTGTTGATGCCAGAGGAGAATGGCCAGACTGGTTCCAGCTGATAGAAAGGCAACAGTAACTCAAATAAGCACTCGCTACAACCGAGCTCTGCAGAAGAGCATCTCTGAACACACAACACGTCCAACCTTGAGGCGGATGGGCTACAGCAGCAGAAGACCACACCGGATGCCGCTCCTGTCAGCTAAGAACAGGAAACTGAGGCTACAATTCACACAGACTCACCAAAACTGGACAATAGAAGATTGGAGAAACGTTGCTGCTCTGATGAGTCTCCATTTCTGCTGACACATTCGAATGCTCGGGGCAGAATTTGGCCTCAACAACATGAAAGCATGGATCCATCCTGCCTTGTATCAGCGGTTCAGGCTGCTGCTGGTGGTGTAATGGTGTGGGGGAAATTTTCTTGGCACGCTTTGGGTCCATTAGTAACAATTGAGCATGGTGTCAACACCACAGCCTACCTGAGTATTGTTGCTGACCATGTCCATCTCTTTATGAGCACAGTGTCTCCATCATCTGATGGCTACTTCCAGCAGGATAACACACCATGTCATCAAGCTCATCATCTCAGACTGGTTTCTTGAACATGACAATGAGTTCACTGTACTCAAATGGCCTCCACAGTCACCAGAACTCAATCCAATAGAGCAGCTTTGGGATGTGGTGGAACGGGAGATTGGCATCATGGATGTGCAGCCGACAAATCTGCAGCAACTGTGTGATGCTATCATGTCAATATGGAGCAAAATCTCTTGAGGAATATTTCCAGTAGCTTGTTAAATCTCTGCCATGAAGGATTAAGGCAGTTCTGAAGGCAAAAGGGGTCCAACCCAAACTAGTAAGGTGTACTTAATTAAGTGGCCGGTGAGTGTAGTACTGAATTGTGTATTCAGAATTTTAGGGGGTGGGGGTAAAATGATGCACAGACCCACCCATTATACTTGCATTATAATAACTACTGCATATAAGCATTATTGGTTCTCCTGCTCAGTCTTGAGTTAATAGCTAATATCCATCCACCTATTTTATATGCACATTTTGGGAATATTTCATTATAACTCTTGATTTAAACAAGCTTTGTAAAAGATCTGACATGTTGTTTTGCTGATTGTAAAAGATCTCAGCCTTCAGTCTGTCATCACAGTGCTTCAGTATTATTATTACTCTATTATTATTCCCTCCAGAACTTTCTTGAGCATCCGTCTGCGCTCCCAAAGAGCGTCTCACTCCTCTAAAAGCCACCACATTGCATTTCATCTTGGTATTCTGAGTCACAACTTAATTATAGAGAAGGAAAAACACCACGGTGGCTTCTCCCACCGCACTAAACTACATTTCTCTGCCTGATATTTGCTCCAGTTTATCAGGAATTGATGATTTTGTTCTCTTGAACTTATTGGAGGGAATCATTAATTTATTTATAAATATTTTATGCAATATTACAGTTTCCGATCAATTTAATTAGCATCTTTGCTTGTAAACAGCTGTCATTTTTCATTACTACACATTGCTAGCTATCAGAATACATACATTTAAAACATACAACGTTAATAATTAACATCTTTTTCAACTCACTGCAGCGCTAATGCACCTTGTTGTCTATTTGAGCTTACTTAATCATGCACGGCTGTATACAGCCAATGAAGCTAACTTTACTAGCAGTAGCGTGCGTTCAGGTTATAGCGGAATTTGTGAACTGAGAGATGGATGGACACTTTTCCACCAGGGGGGTGTGGCTACAGCAGTCATAGACACGCCCCCAGCGCTGCGGCCTGTGCCATGAAGCGAGTTAAGTTTCAGTTATTGCAGTTATTTCATGTTAATTTAACCTATTAAAATGAGCTAATAATATTTCAACTTAATTTTTTTAATCATTGAAACTGTTTTGAGTCAGTTTAATATAAGTTAAAGGTAACTGTAAGGTTGATTTGTTTCATATTAAAAATGTAAAGCGTTATAAAACATTTGTGGTTGCATTTAAAGGGACGATCCACTACAAAATAATAATTCTGTCATCGTTTATTCATCATCCACTTTTCACAAACCTGAATAAAGATGTAAACAAACCAAAATAAGATGTTTTGAAAAATGTCCGAAGCTGGCAACCATTGACTTCCACAGTATATTCCTACAATAGATATTAATAGTTAACAGTTTTCAACATTCTTCAAAATATATTATATTATTTTATAACATATTATATTATATTAACATCCCTAATACTTGTGCAACTTAGAAGAATTGGAATCATTTAGAATAATAATAAAAATCGGGGCAACTGGTTGAATTTTAATTACGTTAATTACCCTGCTTAAAAATTCAGCATAAACCAGCCTGGGCTGGTTGGCTGGTTTTAGAAGGGTTTTGGCCATTTCCAGGCTGGTTTCTAGCAATTTCCAGACTGATCTTAGCTGGTCATGCTGAAATATGACCAGCTAAAACTAGCTTGACCAGCCTGGTTTAAGCTGGACATAGCTGGTTTTGGCTGAGCTCCCAGCCTTGCTAGGCTGGTCAAGCTGGTTTAAGCTCGTCATCTCCCTGCCTGACCAGCTAAGACCAGACTGGAAATTGTTGGAAACCAGCCTGGAAGTGACCAAAACTACATTTAGCAACCGTATGAAACAAAATAGACACATAACCCTTTCACCGTAAGTTTATTGTTGGCTGAAAACAGAGCGTAGTTTTTCTGTTTACCGAGGACTCTAATTTTGACACGCGGACTCTTGTTTTGACTCGTCCTCCGTTTAACGGAAGTCCGCGATGCAGTTTTCCTCGGATTGACAACAAAATAAGCGGAGAAAGTGTGGCGGTGAACTCGCGTGTCTGCCCGAGCTGTGGAGGCTCTGGCCGGGCATGGATTAGACAGTGTGCGGGTGTAGGAGATGGAGGAGCTGCAAGAGATCCAGGAGCTCCAACAGGGCGGTGTGTGTGTGGATTCAGATTCCAGCAGCGAGTCCTGCGAGTCGGACGCTTCTGCCGCCGCGGCGCTGCTGCTCAACTCCGGCTCCAAGTTCCGTGAGTGCCCCTGATTCAGTTTATGATATTAAATTATGTTTTTATTTACTTTACTTAATGTCAATTAATCTAATTTAATTTTATGTAGTTTAAAATGTCATGTTGTTATATTTTTAGTTACATTTTATTTATGATACATGCATATTACGAGTTGTTTAATTATATATTCAGATTTTAGTCTGATTATGATAGGAAATTAATTTTAATTTACTTAATGTTCAATTATTTAATTAAATTGTATGTAGTTTAAAATACTGTGGTTTTATGTATTTAGTTAAATTTTATATATATATATATATATATATATATATATATATATATATATATATATATATATATATGATACATGCATATCAATTGCCTAATTTTTATATTCTATAAAGTTTTAAATTGAGGTAAAACCTTTTATAATCGCACATTCAGAATTTCTTCTTATGCTATTAATTTTAGTAAAGTATTCCTTGAAAATTCTATATAGTGAAATCATATTATTAGCAGCCAGTGACTATCACAAGTACAACATTGTTCACAGTCAGTTAAATAGTGCTGATGTTGTTTTGAAGTCATATTTACATGTGATTTCAGACCTAATAATCAAAGTTTTTATTGTTTATTTCATAACAAAATCAATAGCATGCAAAAATGAGGAATACAATGCTTATTATTTCACATCAAAGGAAAAGATCAGTAGACAATAAAAACAAACCAAAAAAAAAGTAATAATAAATAAATAAAATTACAGGGGATATATAAATTACACAAAAAAATAAGAAGAAAATCATTCCAAAATTGCATACATCCTTATAGCCTTTTTTATTTTTTGTGTCTTTAGGGTTTCGATATATGCTTAGGATCAATTTTAATCAAATAAATATTGGGCTTATCATTGGACCATTTTTGTTTGGGTACATAGTACTACCATATATTATCATTAAATTAATAAACACATTCTGCTTTAAAGTGTTGTTGTTATTATTATTGTATATCACAAAAATATCTTTACAAGAAAACTGAATTTTTAATTTTGTAAGTTTCAATATAACAGGGTATCTGCAGGGTTTTAAAAAGTCTCAAAATGTCTTTAATGTCAAAAACAAAATTTTAGGCCTTAAAAAGTTTTAAATTCCCTGAAATATTGTGTTGTAGGTCTAAAATAATCTTAATTTCCCTATGTCCAGGTAAAGCTACCCAATCTGGCCAACATTCATTCACCTATAGTCCATCTCAAAACTTCAGTTATTTTATATTCAAGTTTTTTATTGGAAAGAGACACAATTCACAACAGCTGTTACACTGTAAACAATTATATGGTCAATTAGTCATGACAGCATATGTTTTTAGTTCATTGTAACTTATTAAACTAACCATGTTTTAACTTAATTTTATATAGTTAAGCTCTTTCAAGTTAGTTTAACATTATAACATAATATAAGTTCAATGGACTCATAAGGTTAATTTGATTCAGCTTAAAATTTTAAGGCAACCAGAATTGTTTTTACAGTCTAGACATTTTTACAGCAAATTCTCTAAAATCAGAGAAAGAAAACTAGAGCAACAAATCCCTTTACATGATCTTCCATTAAAAACTTTTTACAGAAATAACAGGACCATTAAAAAAATCCTTAGTGTTTAGCCCTGTATAAGTCTAAAATTTAACTCATAATGGTCTTAAACGTCTTAAATTTGATTTGAAGAAACTGGCAGAAACCCTGAATAAGATATTCAGCATCAAACCAAAACATTTGGATATATGTGCATAAAAAAAAAACAGCTTTTGTATCGATTCCTCCTCAAATTCACAAAAAGTGCACATCGATACCATGTCTCTAAAAAAAACACTGGATAAATTAAAAGTATTAGTTTATATGTCACTTCATGTCGTCACTCCAGCTGCACATATCATGAGCAAATTAAACCACACAAAGTTGGTCACGCACGGCAATCCCCTTCGATTTGATACCAAACATCACTTAATGTTCAAATTAGGGTTCCACCAAGTGTTGTGAAAAGTTCTGTGCAAATACTAGGGGTGTAACGATTTATCGTTGTACGATTTATTGCGATGCAAAAATGTTTTTTTATTTATTTATTTTTTTTATTTACTTCAATAACAAACATACAAAATTCAACAATTTACACAAAAGAACACAATGACAATAACAGATCAGGATAAACAATATAAACTTTAAAGGGTCACGAAACAGCAAAACACATGTGTTGAGCTGTTGACAGTCATATATGTGTCCCACACTGCTAAAAACACTATTAGGACACCTATATTTCACTAAAAAGTGTAAATTGGTTGTTTTTGCGTTATTTCAAGCAAATTCGTACTTCCTGCTTAAAACGAATTTTTGAAGCTGCGTCACGGTCATGAGATAATAGCGTGTATTCCAGCGTGCAGACTGGACGTCTGTGCCAGAGTGTGTCTTATTACGTCTTACAGTGTGCTGCATTAATGCATGAGTAAGGCTTGGTTCAAACCAATCAGCGCGCTCTATTGTGCAACTTCATTAATATACATTAGCGTCACCGTGTTTACGCCACAGAGACGCCACGTTGTGTTGGCAAAACAAGTGTGAAGTGTTGCTTTTATAGTTTGCTGCAGTGAAGTTTTGTTTTCATTTTCTCTCTGTGAGAGCTCATCTGGAGTCACGTGTGGATTAACAGTGTACGCGACGCTCGACAACAATAACTTGCGTGTCTAAGGAGGAACATTGTTTACCTGAGAGCTGTTCTCATCTGCAAACGCTGAAATCCGGATTCGCTTGTAACGTTAGTCTTCTCTTAATAAAGACGCAGCTCTAGTTGCTGGTGATTGTTCTGTCTCTACAGATTTGGTAAGTGAGCGACCAGTGCTCTTTGTTTATTCAGTTTGTTCGTATCGAATTAAGTTAACTATTGCACCGAGTGCAAACATAGCACCGCATTTTGTGACTGGAATAACACACGCGGCTTTCTGACGCTACCTGCCGTGCATCTAAGTTTCCGGGAAATGCGGAGGTTTTTTTTCTCTCATTTGCCATGCGGTATCAAACATTGCATGAAAAATACACGCTTAGAGCAGTTCCTTGAATCAAATATCTCGTTTGTCGCGAGGGGCATGAATGAATTCCCTGAATGAAAGAGCCAAACTGCTGTTAAAGTCCAACATTTAATAATTTGGCAAATAATTGGACTACAGATGTCCATGTAGGTTAAACACCATCACTTTCTCATGTGTGTGTATTTTGACTGAAACTCGCGCGTGCCCAAATAGACACTCCCACACCCTCCCACTTTAGTTCCTCCGACACTCCCCCCTAAAGAGCTGGACACGCCCACTTCTGACTTTTTCCAAAGTAGAGGTGTGAAAACACCCTGCTGAAACGAGGAGGTTTCATGGCCCTTTAAAAATTAAATAAAAAGAGAAACAAAAGAGAGAAAAGAAAGAAAAAATAAATAAATAAAATTAAACATATACATAACACAAATACAGCAAGAGGAAAGGAGGACTTATGTATCTGTGCTGTTTCCAAAATATTTATCATAGAAAACTAAAAATCTATCACTTTTCTTATTATTAACTAATCTAAGAGATTTAATAAAAACATCAATTTCTATTAAAAAATGTGAAAAAGAAGTCTTCACAGTGATTTACATACTTTGCACAGCGACAGGGATACCTCCTAATGGTGTTGAAAGAGTCACATACTGTATTTATAAGGTACAATTCACCCTAAAATATCATTCTGTCTTCATATAATGTTCCCGCCGCAAAATCACACATGACGTGAGCTGACCGCGAGCTGTTACTACAGAGGGCGGATGATAGACACGCGCGTATGGCAAGCTATTTTAGCATTTAAACCTTTGTTCTGACTATCCATAAATATATTTAGAGATATCTCTAATTATATTTTGACTAGTCATAATTATAATTCGACTAGTCAGAATGACAATTAGAGATATCTGCAATTACAATTGTACTAGTACGAAATCAGATTGGAGATATCTGCAAATATATTATGACTAGTCATATTCCTCCATTGACTTCCATTGAAAAATATTTGCAGATATCTCTAAATGAGTTTTGACTAGTCACAATTGTAATTAGAGATATCTCTAAATGAATTTAATTAAATATGAATTAAATACCTGGAAATGTGGATTTTATTTGCACACAAAAAACGCACGTGACCAAGCAAAGCCTTAAGCTCTTACTGTTAAATTCAATTGAATAGAACGTGTTTTTTTTTTTTTGCACTTTTACTTAAATTGTTCCTTAATTTTGTCTCTGTCATTTCAATAATATTTTTTAAGAAGTTTTTAAATTGTTTTATTTTCCAAAGACAGGCCTGTTTAATATATTTTCTAAAAGAAGGTTCAGTTTAACAAGTTGAAACAAAAGAAATACATAAAAAATAGTTTACTTGGAAAAATTTGCATTTCAGTTTAATTTTCAGTTTTTATTCCAAATATCGTGATACATATCGAAGCGTGAACATTATATCGTGATGCACATCGTATCGTGAGCTGAGTGTATCGTTACACACCTAGCAAATACTTTAACTAAAACCCTCACATGTGTTTCTTGTGTTTGTCTTCTGCTGATGTTCTTATGTTCAGTCTTGAATGCGATGTCGGCTGAAGAATACAGGACGGTTTACTGGCCAAAACTAGAGCGAGCCGTCGAGCTTCTGCTCACCCAGAGCCCAATGGAGCACATCTCCATCTCCTACGAGCAGATCTACAGGTCAGCCAGACACTCCTGTTTTCATTTTCTGTTGGTCTTAATACACAAAGTAACTACAGAGCAGTCAAGTTTTAACCTTATAAGGCCCAAGCTGTTTTTTTTAACATGCATTTTTTATTTCTCTTTGCTATTTGGGCTTTTTGGAGTATCATCTTTTGATAAGATGTACTTTTAGAGAAGGATGATGTCCATATATGTGGACTCGGGGTGCCAATTTACGTAAAACACTTTTTCCTGACGTTTTTTTAATGCATATATAACATTGTTTTTTTTAACTTGATTTGACTATTAAAGAGTCAAAACAACATGTTTTTTTTCCTATTTTGGACGGTTAAAAATAGGGTTTGGGACATTTCATATGCTGCAAAATGGATGCTGTATGACGCTGTATGTCTGTAACTAAATATAAAACATTTAAAGTATTTTAAATAGCCACTTTAGAGGTCAAATGTGCTGTCCACGTATGTGGATACTCAAGCCCTAGGAGGTTAACCACTTAAACTCTGCGGACCCGGTACCGGGTCTGTGACGACATCGACTTTCGCTTTAAAGGGCTAGCATTGCACCAGACCCCCGTAAGTGGTTTTGTTTGAAAGTGTAGAATCTATATTTTATGCACATATGCATCACTTTGGTTTTTATTCTACTGTACAAAAGTTATTTACACTTAAATACACAGTATTTTGGATACCCGAGCCGGGTATTTTACATTGGTTCGTTTTCATATTTTTTCATATGACACATGTACAAGTTATAGCTCAAATGAAAGCTCTTGCCGGTGCTCATACGGTTCTAGCATTCTTTTTACTGAATTATATTCATATGCCAAACAGTTGCTGAATGAATCGTGGTGTTTCCATGGCACAGAAATGTAAACAATACATTCATGATCAATAAGCAGCCCCAGATAGCACAGACAGCTGTCATCTCTCACCTTATGCTGTGTGCTTCAGGGCCATTCTCCTCTGTTTTTGAGGTGATGTGCATAAGTAATCCTTATATATGTCTGGCGTGCTCCAAACACAGTGAATTATGTTTGATCAAACAAAAGAATAGTGAAATATGAAAACAATGATGATCCCTGTGGCTTGTACAGCACCTCTCATCAGTTAAAATACAATAACTTCTGCATAGATTATGGTGGAGACATTTTTCTTTTTTCCTATGATTACAGACATGTACAGGAACCACCAACATTAATTACAGCACACTAGACCACACACAACCTAAAAGGTGCACTTTCAAATTAGAGTTTATAAAAAAAAAAAATACAAAAAGCACCTCTTTTTTTAGGTGTTTATTATAACACAGGCGGCATATACAGTTATTTTAAACACTTTCAATAGTGTTTTATGAAAATTCAAAGGGTTTTCTTTAAAATGATACCACATTTTTGCATTTACACCTCTGCATGTGGATTTGGGAAGCTTTTAAATTTGGGTAGGCAAAATCCAGGCGGAAATCCCCAAATAGCAGCAGAGTTTAAGTGGTTAAATAAGAAAAATAGCAAAACTCTGGTCATTTTAAAGTGTGACGCTAACTGGGTGGTATGTGTGTGCGCGCGTGTGTTCCTTTAAACCAGTATCAGAGACTCCAGCAATCCATGAGTAAATGCATCTTTGTTTTGTCCTCTTGCAGTCACGTTTATAAGTGCGTGTGCCAACAGCATTCAGAGCTGCTCTATAATGACCTGATGTGGAAGATCACGTCTCATCTGGAGCAGGTCTCTGCTGAACTACAGGTCTGTACATTCACTTCAAACATTTAGCTTACTGAAGTATTAAAGTCCACATGCACCAGAAGCTGCGACCATTTTGGTATAGTGTGACGCAGTTTCTAGAGAAACAGAGTATTAGGGGGCTTTCACATCTGTAGTTCGCTTCATTTGGTCCGGACCAAGGGTAGTAAATGATGCATTGTTGCATCTTCTGCCATCTTTGGGTCGTTTTCACACCACACTGCTGGCTTTGGTCCGAACCAGTTGAAACGAACCAAAATGCAGTCATCTGACAAAATCCACATCTCTCATTGGCCAGATGTTGTTAAACATATTTCCTAAACTGCTTATTGATTGGTCAGAGTACACGTGCGGGAAAATGCCAGTGAACTCCCGCAGGTAAACTAAACCTTTTACTCTGGAGGGACGACTGCGCTGGCTGATTGTATCCCTGCTTTAGATAAACTAGACATTACGAAAATGAAGTGCGGCCGCGGCTGGAAAACAGTGTTTAATGCATCGCTCGTCACTTCAGGAGGAGACGTGAATTAATTTAGCTAAACTGCGACATGCTCATCTAGCGGAAATATTACCAACGATCCATCAGGTAATGTTTTCCCCTCTCTCTCTCTCTCTCTCTCTCTCTCTGTTGGTAAATCGCTGTCAACAAATATTTGTCCTCCATATCCCATAATGCACAGCGCATCAGCCTACGGCAGCTGGATTAGTCCAAAAGGCGCAGTACTTTTTGCGGTTTGACCTGTTTTAGTACGAATCATATTCTCACCACAAACGAACCGCTCCAGGGTTTGTTTGAAAGCGTACCGAGACCACCTCTTCAAGCAGGTCTCGTTACGCTTATTTGGTCCGCTTTTGGTTCACACTCGAGTACGATTGCTGCATTCTCACCTGCCCAAACGAACCGCACCAAAAGGGGAAACGAACTCTAGTGCGATTCAATCAAACTAAATAAGGCAGGTGTGAAAGCACCCTTAAAGATGAAAACAGTGGGTGTGGCTTGTTTTGTCTACTGCGAGCTGATTGGATGTAGTAAAGTAGTTTCATTCAGAAAGATTGGGAAAAGGGTTCGGGGAGAGTTATTACAGCCTAACAGACTCCTCCTCCTCACCTTTTCTTATTACTGTCAAAACTGACAGCTGAAGGGGCGTGGTTAATTTTGTTAGCCCCGCCCACAACATCTGACAGACCTAGGCTGTTTCTCAATATGCGTTCTTGTCTGCACTTGTGTCCTCGTGAAACGTCATCAGCCATCGCCAAAGTACTGTTCCAACTCAATGTTCACATCTTGCCAAGTACAGATCAAATTCTCGGATGTGTACTTGCTCAACCCCTTTACCCAAGGATGCATTGAAAGTTGACTTGTGCGAACTTGTAAAGCTCAGGTATCCCAGAATGCGTTGCAGCTAAACTAGCAAGCGTTAATGGTGGAGGAGAAAACCTGCACGGTTTTAAAAATACTCCTTTACTGTGTTACAAAATATCGTTTTAAAGGGCCATGAAACCCCCCATTTCAGCAGGATGTTTTCACACCTCTAGTTTGGAAAAAGTCAGGGAAGTGGGTGTGCCTAGCTCTGTTTGGGTAAGAGTGTCGGGGAGGGATAAAGGGAAGGGTTTGAATAAAAATGGGAGTTTCCATTTAGGCACGCGCTGCTGACAGAGGAAAAAAAAAACACACACACGCAGGGGAGAAAGACAATAGCCCCTTTCACACAGTGATACCGGTAAATATCTGGAAAATTTCCGGATTGACTTTACCGGTATATTCAAAAAAGCGCTGTTCACACAGGCGAGGACGTTACAGAATTTTTCCAGAAAAGGCCGTGTACACATCCATTCCAGAATAGCGGTAAATTCTGACATCATTCACCACAAATGAGCTTTAAACGGCTGCGCTTGTAATTGTAAACATTTGACTACATTACAAACTCTGTGGATGATCAATATTGTGAACAACTTCGATGAAAACATAGAGAAACATTTTCGCATGTCGAGATGTTCATGATATGTGTCTGTGCTGGCGCTCACAGGCTGTTTCACAGGCACACGCAAAGCTTGAAGGTAAACAAACAACGGCTTATCATAAGCATCTCATCGATGATTATTTACACAGTTGGCATTAAGAAGAACATATAAACGTGATCTGACTAACTTCTAGCAGCTAAATGCGTCTGGGAAAATATTCAAAGGCTTTTATTCTCATAAACCGCGCGGACGTAAATGCGTCTGACTGTTGTGATTGGCTAAAGCAGTTGTCTCACGTCAGCATGTTCTAGATGTGCACGCGCTCTTTCCGGCAATGTTTCTTCTGCATTCACACAGCGCAGCGTTCCGGCAAATTACCGGTAATCTTACAACTTCTCTTTCTGGAAAATAGCCAGAACGAATTTACCGGTATTTTCAAAAAGGACCTGTTCACACATACAACCTTTCTGGAAAATTGCCGGTAATTTTCCGGAAAGGTCTGTATGTGTGAAAGGGGCTAATGTGTTTAATGACAGTGGAATGTTTGATACCGCATGTCGTATTAGAGAAAAAAGCCTCTGCATTTCTTGGTAACTCAGATGCACTCAGTTGGTCAGAAAGCCGTGTGTGTGTAGATAATCCTGTCACAAAATGCGGCGAAAATTCAACACGGCGGTCTGTAATAGTTTGCTTACAGTGTTCACATGTTTACACTCTGAGAGCAGCATTTACAGCAGACCTTTCAGCCCATAATATTGTAGTGATGTTAACGTAAACTAAGTAACTTAGAAATTTGACCAAGGTCTGTGCTTAAGCACTGAAAGAGTACTGCTGACGATACCAACTATAACTTTACCATCTGAATGAAGAAAGAAAGGGCGCTGATCACACACACTTACCAAATCTGTAGACAGGACAATCAACACAAAACGTTACTGGAGCTGCGTCTTTTTTTTAAAGGAGACGAGTAGCAAATCCAGATCTCACCATTTCTAGATGAGAAAAGCTCTCGTGTAAAAAATGTTTCGTACAGAAGTATCTCTGTCGAGCGTCGCGTGCACTGATCCCCACGTGAGTCCAGCAGCGCTCTCATAGAGAGAAAATGTAAACAAAACCTTCACTGCAGCAAATTATAAAAGCAACACTGACGACCCGTATCTCTATTCATTTCTTATTCTTTTCCCACTCCTTTTGGCAACACGACGTGTCGTCTCTTCCGTCTGAACACTGTTTCAGGTACAGTCTAAGAAAGCTATCATGCATGTTAATGAAGTTGCAGCGCATACATAATGGCGCGCGCTGATTGGTTTGAACCAAGCCTTACTCATGAATCAATGCAGCACACTCAGAGACGTAATACGGTACTCCCAGGTACAAACTTCCAGTCTACATGCTGGAACACACGCTAAGATGTCATGGCCGTGACGCAGCTTCAAAAATTAGTTTCAAACCGGAAGTACGAATTTGCTCGAAATAACGCAAAAACAACCAATTTACACTTTTTAATGAAGTATATGTGCACTAATAGTGTTTATAGCAGTGTGGGACACATATACCACTGTCAACAGCTCAACACATGTGTTCTGGTGTTTCGTGACCCTTTAACAGTTTTTCAGGTGAGAATGTAGTAGTTTTAAACTTAAATCGACAGTTTATTCACCAAGATAGCGCGTCATTGATGATGTGCCTCAGCTTAAGGCTGATTTATACTTCTGCGTCAAACGCCGGCGTATGCTACGGCGCTGACGCATAGCCCTTCGCCGTGGCCGTCGGCGTCACTGACGTGCACCTCTCAAAAAATGTAACTACACGTCGCAACAATGCGTAGCGCAAGCTCTGTGATTGGTCGGCTTGGTAGCGCTGACGAGTCTGGGCGGGACCGAGAGCTGCGTGAATGGCGCGGGCCCAATGTAGCGATTGTTTACAAGTGTGGAGTCCCGTGAAGGAGCTCCGGATGGAAAGTTTTGTTTTGTGTTTACCTCATAGTTAAAGTTGTTGCACGTCCGCCGGTTCCTGCCTCAAAATGAGCGAGTTTGAGCCACTTGTACATCCAGGAAGCGTTCAGGAAAACAAAACAGCAGTGAAGAAACTCGACACAGAGGAACATTTACATCTCACTGCCAACTAGCGTTTCAGAAGTGTTAATGCAGACCAACAGAGACAGCAGCAGAAGTATAAATGCACAGCTGCGCAGGTTGCATGCGCCGTGAGTTACGCCGGTCACTTGACGCAGAAGTATAAACCAGGCTTTATGCGGACTCCGACTCCCAGCCTGCCAGCGAGAGCTCCGTCATCGCCTCCCCCACCGAGAGCAGCTTTACTTCAGCCAGGCCATCTCGGATGTACTGCTGGGTCTCATCTCTAAAACATGATGTTTAATATATCTTGTGTGTATCTAGCGGACAGTTTTTGGTCTTTTAAATCTATTATATGTAATCAGGTTTATTATTTTGGCAGTATTATTTTGTTACCTTTTATAATTGTCTTGAATTATGTTATCGTGTTGTACACTTTGTCTTTGTTTACCAAATTGCCTAACGTTATCTTTATGACTTAATGTGTACGTCTTGTACTTTATACTTGTATAATGTCTATTTTAGTTTATTAAATCTGATAGTCAAAGACACGAGTCTGTGTATAATGATACATTTCACTTTACATTTATATGGATTTATGTTTACATTTTCTTAAATCAAAAATGTGGATTTATAATATCAATATAATGTTAATTATAAGGCCGTGCTTTAAATAATGAAATCATTTTATTGTTAATGTACGGTGAAACCAATGATTTCACGATGAATCCATTTGAAGAATTACTCGACTTGTGTCCTCGCGTCCTCGGAAGCTCGTTTTTCCAAGTCTGAACTTTGCGTACTTGGTATTGAGAAACAGCTCAAATCTGAGAATTCAACTGAAAACAAACAGGAAGTGCATTTTCAGATTATAATTAAAGATCAGCAACCTATGTTATTGTCTTAATGACATGAGCCGAGGAATTTTTCACCACAAAACTAGCAATGTGAGCGAACAAAATCAATATGGTTAGTTTTGATTTCATGTGTACTTTAAAGTGCGCTTTTCAAATCACATACTGCAGACACTGAAGTCTGAAGTGTTGGGGTTTTATTTTTGTGCTTGTGTAGATTTTTGAAAAACTAAATAAGTAATGAAAGTCAGTAGTTTATTTATTGAATTAATAACGCATTAACTTTTTTATTAACACATTGTATGCATTATAGCACAATACATGTTTTTTTAAGTATTATAATAAAAATAATAACACTAATTTTATATGACAATAATTATAATAATAATTATTGGCTTTTTAAATACATTTTTCGTTAAAATGTAAAATTAATGTAATTTTTTATGTTGTTAAATTGTATTACCTTAAATCTTCATTTTTATTTGTACTATTTTGTCTTGGGAAAAAAATCACAATATTAATATTACAATATTGTTAAATAATTTATTTTAAATAGTTTGAGTACAGTGTATTATAATTATTTCGACAATATTTTAATGATATACAATGAAAATGTACATGTTAATACAAGTTAACGACATTTATGTTAACACGATAATTTGAATTTACATTTCAGTTAAGATGTAACACATTTTACTATTTTGTCTAGAAGAATATTGTTGTTATAATTTATATTAAATGATATATTATAAGTAAAATGTATTATAAATCGATTATATACGTTTCGTAAAATCTAAATAATGAATGCATAAATTGTCTATTATCCGTTTTAGTCGTGTTTTTATTTATTTATTTGCTAATTTTCTTTTTTTTTATAAATGGCAATATATTCATAAATAATTATATTAAAATGGCTTAATAATTGTAAATGTAACTGTTAATTATTAATATTGCAAATGTTTTTAATACATTTTTGATAATTCTACTCTGGTTTGTTTTTAAAATGCATATCAAATGCCTAAATTAATACAATATGTATATATACCAAATAAATACTACTAGTTTTTATTACTATTTGGAACATAGGGGACTGAAAATTACAATCAAAAATAAAAATCACAGTTTTCTCCTCTTATCTGCAGGCCAGTCCACCTGAACATTTAATAGAAAACTTCAACCTAGCTCTGAGTCGGTACACAGCTGCTCTTCACTGCATCGTTCCTGTCTTCATCTATATGGTAAACCAGTGTTTTTGAATGTCACTTCCACACGACACTCAATCCTGCATTGATTTGTCAGCGTTTTAATCTTTACTGTGTGTTACAGAACAAGTTTTACATTGAAGCAAAGCTAAACCGAGACCTGCGGGACGATCTCATGAAGCTGTTCTCAGATCATGTAGCAGAGAAACACGTCGCCACTTTACTGCGTGAGTCTGAAAATGAGGAGTATTTATGTTACAATTGCTTAATCTTTATTTTAGATCATAGTGATTGCTGCAATTCCTTTAACAGCCACAAGGTGGAAACGTAAATGAAACTGTATAGGCACTGTTTCACACACAACTTTTACATTTACTTTTAAATTCTGTATGTCATACTGTATGCCATTGTGTGTTTTAGGCCAGATTACTTTAATATTTGAGGGTGCAAAGTGGCATCTTACAGAACAATTGTCAATTATCTTATACATGAACACACACTCACTGGCCACATAATTAGGTACACCTTACTAGTACCGGGTTGGACCCGCTTTTTGCCTCCAGAACTGCCTCACACCTTCGTAGTATAGATTCAACAAGCTACTGGAAATATTCCTCAGAGATTTTGCTCCATATTGACATGATAGCATCACACAGTTGCTGCAGATTTGTTGACTGCACATCCATGATGCCAATCTCATGTTCCACCACATCCCAAAGCTGCTCTATTGGATTGAGATCTGGTGACTGTGGAGGCCATTTGAGTACAGTGAACTCATTGTCATGTTCAAGAAACCAGTCTGAGATGATTGAGCTTCATAATATGGTGCGTTATCCTGCTGGAAGTAGCCATCAGAAGATGGAGCCAGTTTTGGTGAGTCTGTGTGAATTGTAGCTTCAGTTTCTTGTTCTTAGCTGACAGGAGCGGCACCCGGTGTGGTCTTCTGCTGCTGTAGCCCATCCGCCTCAAGGTTGGACGTGTTGTGTGTTCAGAGATGCTCTTCTGCAGACCTCAGTTGTATCGAGTGCTTATTTGAGTTACTGTTGCCTTTCTACCAGCTGGAACCAGTCTGGCCATTCTCCTCTGACCTCTGGCCTCATCAACAAGGCATTTGCGCCCCCACAGAACTGCCGCTCACTGGATATTTCCTCTTTGTCTGAGCATTCTCTGTAAACCCTAGAGATGGTTGTGCGTGAAAATCCCAGTAGATCAGCAGTTTCTGAAATACTCAGACCAGTCTGGCACTAACAACCATGCCACGTTCAAAGTCACTTAAGTCCCCTTTCTTCCTCATTCTGATGCTCGCTTTGAACTGCAGCAGATCATCTTGACCATGTCTACATGGCTGAATTCATTAAGTTGCTGCCATGTGATTGGCTGATTTGAAATTTGCGTTAACAAGCAGTCGGACAGGTGTACCTAATAAAGTGGCCGGTTAGTGTATATTCAAAATGTATTGCAAAAATGTCAGTTTATATCTTCATTTTCAATCATTAGAATTACAATTATGCACAAATGTTCAAATGTGTTAACTATACTTTTATATACAGTACTCATATTTGGCTGAATATTATGAATATTATATATTTATAAGCCCTAAACAGATATATTTATAAGCACCATAATAGGCAATTCATTGCATAATTGCAATTATTTCTCAAACAATAATCATTTGCCAAATTTCATAACTGTGTCTGCCCTATTTATGGATGGATTGTGTTCATTGTTGGTGATATTACTGCACAAAAGCAGTTTTCTTGCATTTGATGATTGGATATGATGCTGCCATTGGTGTGTAAATGTTTATTTCCTTCTCAGCTCTTCTTAAAAAGGCTCATTCCATGCCATTTCAAGTCAATCCATCCACTATGGAGAGTGTTGTGAAAGGCCTTTACACTCTTCGGCCAGGTGAGAATAATTCACTGAAGTGTTTTGTGTGTGTAATGTTGTCAAACATTTATGTTATAGTTCACACAAAAATGAAAACTCTGTCACCATTTACTACTTTATAGTTCCTCTCTGCTGTTAAATACAAAGGAAGATTTATTTGAAGAATGTGGCAAACGGGGTGCTGTTGACTATCATAGTATTTTCATAAAATTAAACAGCAGAAGGTACTCTTGGATGGTGTTTAAAGACTGTGAAATTAAAACTACAGATGGTGCTCTAGGCTAGTTTTTTAACAGCAGATGGCACTCTAGGGCAATATTTAACACCAGATGATGCTCTAGGTTAGTTTTTAACAGCAGACTGCGCTCTAGGCTATTTTTCAAACCAGATGGCACTCCAGGCAATTTTTTTTCATACCCAAATAGTGCTCTAGGCTAGATTTTAACCACAAAAAAGACTTTTAGCGTGTTTTTTTAACCAGCAGTTGGTGCTCTAGGCTAGTCTTTAACCAACAGATTGGTGCTCTTGGCTAGTTTTTGACAGCAGATGGCGCTCTAGGATAGTTTTTAAACAACAGACTGGCGCTCTAGGATAGTTTTTAAACAACAGACTGGCGCTCTAGGCTAGTTTCTTAACAGCAGATGGCACTCTAGATTAATTTGAACAGCAGATGGCGCGCTAGGCTATTTTTTTTTAACCCAAATGGTGCTCTAGACTAGTTCTAGGTAAGTTTTGATAGCTAATGGCGCTTTAGGCAAATTTTTCTTACAGCAAATAATTGCACTCTAGACTATATTTTTAATTACAGATTGCACTTTATTTTTTTAACACCAGCGCTTTAGGCTTGTTTTTAAACAACAGACAGGGGCTCTAGGCTAGTTCTTAGCTAGTTTTTAACAGCTGATGACACTTTAGGCTATTTCTTAACAGCAGTCCGTGCTATGGACTAGTTTTAACAGCAGTCGGTGCTTTAGGCTAGTTTTTAAACACATACGGCAGTTAAGGCCATTTTTAACAGCAGATGGCACTCTAGGCTCGTGTTTAAAAGCAGATGGCGCTCTAGGCTAGTTTTTAACAGCAGATGGCGTTCTAGGCTAGTTTTTAACAGCAAATGGCGCTCTAGACTAGTGTTTAAAAGCAGATGACGCTCTAGGCTAGTGTTTGAAAGCAGATGGCACTCTAGGCTAGTTTTTAACAGCAGATGGCACTCTAGGCTAGTGTTTAAAAGCAGATGGCGCTCTAGGCTAGTTTTTAACAGCAGATGGCACTCTAGGCTAGTGTTTAAAAGCAGATGGCTCTCTAGGCTAGTTTTGAACAGCAGATGGCGCTCTAGGCTAGTGTTTAAAAGCAGATGGCGCTCTAGGCTCGTGTTTAAAAGCAGATGGCGCTCTAGGCTGGTGTTTAAAATCAGATGACGCTCTAGGCTAGCTTTTAACAGCAGATAGTGCTCTAGGCTACTGTTTAAAAGCAGATGGCACTCTAGGCTCGTTTTTAACAGCAGATGGCACTCTAGGCTAGTTTTTAACAGCAGATGGCGCTATAGGCTAGTGTTTAACAGCAGATGGCGCTCTAGGCTAGTGTTTAAAAGCAGATGGCGCTCTAGGCTAGTTTTTAACAGCAGATGACGCTCTAGGCTAGTGTTTCAAAGCAGATGGTGCTCTAGGCTAGTTTTTAAAAGCAGATGGCGCTCTAGGCTAGTGTTTAAAAGCAGGTGGCGCTCTAGGCTAGTGTTTAAAAGCAGATGGCGCTCTAGGCTAGTTTTTAACAGCAGATGGCGCTCTAGGCTAGTGTTTAAAAGCAGATGGCACTCTAGGCTAGTTTTTAACAGCAGATGACGCTCTAGGCTAATGTTTGAAAGCAGATGGCACTCTAGGCTAGTTTTTAAAAGCAGACAGTGTTTTAAGCTAGTTTTTAACAGCAGATGGCACTCTAGGCTAGTGTTTAAAAGCAGATGGTGCTCTAGGCTAGTTTTTAAAAGCAGAAAGTGTTTTAAGCTAGTTTTTAACAGCAGACAGCACTCTAGGCTAGTTTTTAAAAGCAGACAGTGTTTTAAGCTAGTTTTTAACAGCAGATAGCACTCTAGTCTAGTTTTTAACAAGTTTGACCCACATGATCTGTTGAGGGAGATTTCCGTCAGTCTGTTCATGTCTGCTTTAATCTGCTGTTTTTTTCCTTGTTTCTAGACTGGGTTCCTCTTGCTCCAGCTCTGTTTTCTAGATTCATTCCCCAAATTAATCCTCCTGCTCTCGAATCTCAGCTGCCGTTTTATGCAGCTCAAGACCAGAAACTGCAGATGGAGCTCTCACAGAATGGTTTCTCCAGGTAAAACTGTCTGCAAACCTTACCTTATATACAGTGGTGCAAGACTACTGAACACTCATACTCAAGGTCACCAAAGCGAACTTCTTGGCGGGATTTAATTTAGCCTCAAACACCTTTGAGCTCCCATTGATCTGTTGATTTCATGCAATCGGTGGGTGTGCTCTTGAACTCCGCCTTGTTTGGCGTTCATTTTCTTCGACACTCTATTTATTAAAGAATTCATAAAAGCATGTACCATACAAGAAAAAATAAACATTTAAAGTAGTGACGGCTGTTTTAAAGGTGATAGTGTAGTAAAAAGTTCCGGATACAGCACTAATATAATGCACTCAAGTAAAAGTAAATATTATTTTTAAACTTAAGAGAAACTCCTGAAAATCTACTCGGTTACAGGAGTTTGAGTGTAATGTTACTTTACACCAGTGCAGGGCCGGAGTGGGACTCTTTTTCAGCCCTGGAGTTTCAAGCCTCAGACCGGCCCACCTCAGTTCACCACTGACTATATTAAAATAAGGTCATTTCCAATTCAGTTTCTAATTAAACTATCACGTAATTTTTTTGAGAAAACAGCACTTTTAGAACTTCAAATGTTCAACAACCCTTACAGTATTATGTCTTAACAATAAAAATGAAAAAAAAAAAATTGTTACTCAGACGAGGACCGAACCCAGGTTGGCCGCGTCATAATCTAATGTACTAACCACTGTACCACAACAACTGCACGTTTTATGGCGACTTATCTCGTTATATCATCATTAACTTGCATCCTGCTCACGAGGCTACGTGAAAATAGATAAAAAGAGCAGACCTGCGGTAAAATAATGAATAAGAAGGCTGTGGTCAAGTTAATAAATAAATTATTTTTAAAAAGTGTGACTGCTGAGAGCAACCGATTCTGGAACTAGGGACACCGGCCCTCGCGGCCAAAAAAACGGACCGGCCCACCGGGAATTCTCCCGGTCCTCCCGATTAGCCAATCCGGGCCTGCACCAGTGGTTCCCAGAGTGGGGGTCTCTTGGTGATTTCCAAAACTCAATACATTTTATTGAACTTTTAGAATGACCATATTCAATTCAGCTATATTTGTATAGCGCTTTTACAATGTAGATTGTTATGAATCAGTTTAGCTCAGTTCAGTGTGATTTAAAATCATTACTGAGAGTTATATGATCCATTATATACAGAAGATAAAATGGTATTTAATAAGTACATAAAGAAAAACAACATCCAAATAAAAAAGCCATTAGCTTTTTGATTTTTATATATGGAGAGTTCAGATGCAAAAACCTCTAAAAGCACATCTAGAATTTTCTCCTAAAATTAGTGGGGTTTTTCAGCCTCCAATTTTAATGCTCAAGTATTTCACTTTAAAGGCAATGAAAACAACTTATTTGTCACTATAAAAGTAAAATTTCTGAGCCTACACTCAAGAGTCTGAGAAAATAGCTATTTGCATCTAAACTCTTCATATATATGTCTATGTATGTATATAATTTTTTTATTTTATCTATTTTTTATTTTTTCTACTTTTTCGTTTCAAACTCTCAGGGTTGTTTGTTTGTTTTTGAAAGTTGTTTTTTATTTATTTACTTTATGTATTTATTTGGATTTAGTTTTTCTGTCTTTTCCTTTTTTATTTTATTATAATTCTTTAATTTTTTTATTTATTTAAATTTTTTTTATTTCTTTTTTCCCCATCTGGGTTTTTTATTTTTATTTTGGGGGGTTGTTTGTTTTGTTTTTTTGTTTGTTTTCTATTTTTTTATTTTAAAAAATATATGTAATTATTTTCTTTTTCGTGTCAATCTCTCAGGGTTTTGTTGTGTGTTTTTTTAAATAGTTTTTAGTTTACTTTATTTCGATTTATTATTGTTTAGTTTTTTTTTGGGGGGGGGGGGTGTTTTTAAAATTTATTTCTATTAATTAATTTTGTTTTGTTTTTTATTTATTTATTTTCTTTTTCGTTTCAACCTTTTAGGGTTTTTTGTTTTTTCTAAATGTTTTTTTATTTACTTTATTTCGATTTATTTTTTAATTTTTTTTTCCAGTTTTTTTCTCCTGTTGTTATTTAAAAAAAAAAAATGTTCACCTTTTTTTCACTTTTTTCTTTTTTTTTTCCTTTTATTTATTTAATTAATTTTTTGATAGATTTCTCTTATTCTGGGGGCAGGTTGTTTTTGTTTTTTTATTTGTATGTTTTATTTTTTAATTAATTTTCTTGGTGTTTATTATTTATTTATTGTACCTCCGTTTTTTGCTGGTGTTTTTTTTTATTTTATTTTATTTTTTCTGTTTTTTGTTTTGTTTGCTTTTAATTTTTTTAACCGTTTTTTATTTTTTTTATTTTTTTATATTTTTTATGTGTTCATTAATTAATTAGTTCATTAATGTGTGTGTGTGTGTGCGTGGGTGCGTGCGTGCATGCGTGTGTGTGTGTGTGTGTGTGTGTGTGTGTGTGTGTGTGTGAGTGTGAGTGTGTGTGTATGTGTGTGTGTGTGTGTGATGTTTGTATGTTTGAAATATAACATTTCTATGCATTTGTAGATGATGCTAAATAACTTGACTAACCTGAGCTGGCGCTTGTTTTTCAGGGGTGATCAGTCCAGGAAGCGAGCAAGTGAAGAATCTTGACGGCGAATGGAATTTTTTTTTTTTTGTTTTGTTTTACACCATTTCATTGTGCTGAAGACACAAACACACCTGAGCGCTACTCCACAAACTCCTCCAGCATCAATCACAAAAAAAAAAACACTTCATGGGTTAGTACAGTCCTCTGGGATCCTCACTAATAGCGCATGACTTCTGAGGCCTTCAGTGTGTTTGCAGGGACGCTTCGGTTTCTCAGTAGTCAGAAAGAGACTGAGTTTGTGCGAATCTCATATTCCAGGTTGATTTCTCCACTCTGAAAGCTGTTTTTCTTGATTTGTTCACATGATTGAGGGAAATCTTCTGTGTTTTTTTCAGAGAGCTGATGGTTTCAGGCTTGAGTTCTCTGCATCCAGATTGTTTATGTAATCGTGGATTGAAGAAGGTATCGAACATGCAGATATCTAGATATTTAATTCAAAATGCATCTGATTTATTTTAGCATCACTACTGTACGCTGTAGAAAATATATCTGTAAATTTGCATTTTCCGTATTTTGTGATACATTTTGTGTTGTTTAATGGTTTATATCTGCTTTTGAATTGCATTATGGGAACTTGATCTTTCTTGCAACAACCTTTTAACCTTGAAAAGGTTGTAAAAAGTGAGTTTGTTTTGTTTTTTTATTTGTATTTTTTATAAAAAAAAATTATTTTCTTTTTCGTTTCAATCTCTCAGGTTTTTTTTTTTTGTTTTTTTTAAATAGTTTTTTATTTACTTTATTTTGATTTTATTTCGATTTTTTTTGTTTGTTTTTATTTCAGTTTTTTTTTTTGGGGGGGGGGGGGGGGCTGTATAATTTTTAAATAATTAATTTTGTTTTGTTTTTTCATTTATTTATTTTCTTGTTTCAACCTCTTAGGGTTTTTTTATTATTTACTTTATTTGTATTTATTTTTTGTTTAGTTTTTTTTTCCCTTTTTTTTTATTAAAACTATTTTTCCGTTTTTATTTATTATTTTTTTTCACCCTTTTTCCTTTTTTTCCTTTTATTTATTTATTTAATTAATTTTTCGATAGATTTCTTTTATTCTGGGGGGCGGGTTGTTTTTGTTTTTTTATTTTATTTTTTTATTAATTAATAAATTTTCTTGGTGTTTATTATTTATTTATTGCCTCTCTGTTTTTTGCTGGTGTTATTTTATTTTATTTTTTCAGTTTTTTGTTATGTTTGGTTTCCTTCTGTTTTTTTTTTTATTAGTTTTTTTATAGTTTTTATTTATTTTTTCCATTTTTGTTGTGATTATATATAGGACGCAGCAATAGTGTTAGCTGCAGCAGGTTGCTTTTCCAATGCACCATGGTAAACTTTGACACCTTTACAGCCCATACACGACTGAACATGGGGGATGGTCTCTTTTCTCTAGATATTATTGTTTTTTTATACATTTTATCATTTTAGACCACTAAAATGTCAATAAAAGTAACTTTTAAGCTGTTGAGTTAAATTTTCTACACCAAAAGTGGACAGAGCAGAGGTCAACATCCTATAATGCAACTTACAACCGTAAATAAACCCAAAACACTTGTGAATCACTAAATACGGATATTTTCACAGTGTAGTTTTAACAGTTTTGAGGCTCATCTGATGTGATAATGACGTGCCTTGGCTCTTCGCCTTTTTTGTTTCTCTCTTTTAGGCTTTTTACATGAAAAGTGACATGTAAACCGTTCATTTATGACAACAACTGTTGATTTAGTTTGTTCTTTTCCATCTAATATTTGGGAAAATGTTACAAATCGAATATGGAATCATACTAGTCTGTATGAAACAGCACAGATCACAGACATCTGAACTGTAGGTGAAATATAAAGGGCTGCTACTAATTTATCTGGAATAAAAACATGACACTGAAACAAGAATTGTGCATTATACTGTGCATATGTTAAATGCTGGATTCTGATTGGCTGATGAGCATTCTATGGTGTTTGGTTATTGTCAGATAAACGCACAGATGAAGTAGTTCCGGCAGGTTTTAAAGGCATTACAGCTGCATATCACTCCACTGAATGTTTTCAGTTATTTCACAGCGAGACACTTATGGTTTAATCTGATTTAATGATCTATGCTAAGCTAAAAGTGCTCCTGTCAGACCTGCTTATGTTTCTGTTAAATGCTTGATTCTGATTGGCTGATGAGTATTCTGAGGTGTTTGGCTATTGTCAGATAAAGCACAGCTAAAGTAGTTCTGGCTGGTTTTGAGCGCATTACAGCTCCATATCACTATGCTGAATGGTTTCAGTTATTTCACAGCTAGGAGCTAACGGTCTAATCTGATTTAATGATCTATGGTAAGCTAAGCTTAAAGTGCTCCTGTCAGACCTGCTTATGTTTCTGTTGAATGCTGGATTCTGATTGGCTGAAGCACATTCTATAGTGTGCAGTTATTTTCAGATAAACGCACAGCTGAAGTAGTTCCGGCAGGTTTTGAGCACATTACAGCTCCATATTACTACACTGAATGATTTCAGTCATTTCACAGTAAGGCGCTAACGATCTAATCTTATTCAATGATCTATGCTAAGCTAAAATTGCTCCTATTAGACCTGCTTAGGTTTCTGTAAATGCTTAATTGTGACTGGCTGATGGTCACTCTAAGGTGTTTGGTTATCATCAGATAAACGCACAGCTAAAGAAGTTCCGGCAGGTTTTGAACGCATTACAGCTCCATATCACTGTACTGAATGATTTGAGTTACTTCACATTTAAACACTGTTAACGGTCTAATCTGGTGTCAGAAACTTAAAGTTGTGTAGAGCCATCTAACGTCAAGAAGTGATTTTGCAAACTCTTCTGCTTGACGCCAGTGAAAATCGCTTGGGTTTAAATATGGAAAAACGTCTCATAAACACTGACGATAAACGTACACGAAAAGCATGTGCACCAGCCTTAAGGTATTTAGTTATTGTCAAATAAAGCACAGCTAAAGTAGTTCCGGCAGGTTTTGAGCGCATTACAGCTCCATATCCCTGCACTGAATGATTTGAGTTATTTCACAGCTACAACAATTCCCCAATAGCGCATGTGCTGGACTGTGGGAGTAACCGGAGCACACTAACATGGAGAGAATGCAAACTCCACGATTTCCACATTTTATCAAGTCAATGGTCTCACATTTTCAGCTTTCTTCAAAATATATTTATTTGTGTTTGACAGAATAAAGAAACTCAAATGTTTACTTGAGTAAATATCGAGTAAATGTTCATTTTGGGGTGAACGGTCCCTTTAAGAAATTATTTTTCACCTATATGCACAGCTAGTGTTTTTCAGCCGCTGAAAATCTGCCAGTGAAACTTTAATGTGACTTTTTTCAATTTCATATGGTTCCTCCCTGCAAAAAATAAAAAATAAAATGCTTAAACCAGCTTAAACTGGTTGGCTGGTCGACCAGCCTGGTTTTAGAGGGGTTTTGTCCATTTCCGGGCTGGTTTCCAGCCATTTCCTGCGTGGTCTTAGCTGGTCAGGCTGAAAAATGACCAGCTAAAAGGCTGGTTTTAGCTGGTCATCTCCCAGCCTGACCAGCTAAAACCAGCCTGGAATGAGCTGGAGCCTGGAAATGGCCAAAACCCCGTTAAAACCAGCCAACCAACCTATGTAAATAAACCAGTGATGTAAATAAAATTCAATTAGTTAATTAAATAGACTCAAGCATTCATTTAGTTGTTGAAGCGTAAAACAAGACGATAGACTGTTAAACGCAAGCGCCGTCAGGAGCAGCAGACAAGAGCAGAAACTCCATTGAAAATACTGAGGTAAGATACATTTACATTTCTTAAAGACATGGTGCAGAATATTGTAATTTAAAACAGTGCTTCTTGTACGTTCTAAGAGCCATTTTATATTGCATGTCAATTAAACAGTAAATATTTTTTTAAGAAATCAGATCTTAAATGCAGACGATTTTGTAACCGAATGACAGTTAACCAGAAACATTTTAGATGGCTAACCGAAAATTAAAAGTCAGCGCGCATACCCCAATTTAGTAAATAATATGAATAATACTCGGTATAATTACTGTTTTTACATTACTACGAGTGTTGGAGTAGAGGTAGACCTTAATAAAACACTTTAATCATATAAATAATTCTCTTTAACTTCCGGCCGCATCTGTATCCCTTCTAGCATAAGCCTGTCAGTTCTTAAGTGTGCTTTATTTGTTTCTCCAGAGTGTCTCTCTTCTGTCTTCTGTCCAATGAGAGTTTCAGTTTCTCTGGCACACACTTTAAACCCTCCAGCAGCTCCTGCAAAAATAACACCCTGACGGATGTTTTCTGCTGCTGACAGGACAGACAGACGCTCGCTCGGGAAACTCAAGGTTAACTCTGCTCAACACACTGGGGAAAACCGCAGAGAAGCAGGAAAACTGGAGTTTAAGTGCACTAAACAATCACATGTGATCTATACTTTGAGGAGATCAACATTTACACTGAAGACAAAGGTAAAGCTCGGTGTTTTCTCATGACCTACAGTACGTCAGAGTCAGGGACGTTGCTTTTTATTTAATGCATGAGGAATATATTCTTGGTTTTGGCGTAAAATGCATTGCAAAGTATCTTAAAATGCTCTAATATGATTTAAATTATTGACTAAGATTGAATAAATACTAAAATAATAATACATTTTTAGTGTACAATTTAGCATAAAGAGCTTGAGACTGCATTATGTTTTAATATTGTTTAATAGTGGCTGTGCTTACTGCGCATTATTTGAAAACACTATAATTTATCATTAATTAATGTTAGTTAATTTATTTACTAATTTGAATTAAGTGTTGACATTAATATTAATCATAGTCCAACATTTACTAACGCATTGTTAAGGTTTTGCTTAAAAAGTTGATGCATTAAAATGATATACAGTATTATGCTGACTTTTAGAATAAATTAAGCACAATGAGCTTAAAATTCAGCTTTAATAGTTGATTTATTACACTTTAATAGTGTCTAATATTGGTTTTGCTTGCTGATTTTTAATAAATGATTTGAAAGCACTATTAAATATTTATTAAATTCATTTACGAACATGAATTATGCATCAACATTAATATTAATCCCACTCCAACATTTATTAATGCATTATTAATCATTTTAACATAAGTTAATGAGCTAAAAAATACTTTATTTTCTTTAATGTTTACAAAGATGAATAAATAGTGTAATAAACAAACTGTTTCTTGTTTGTTCATGTTAGTAAATTCATTAACTAATGAACTATTATTTTATAGTATTACCAATAGTTTTAGATGATTTTTGGTGCTTGATACTGAACAGTTGACAATAATTATAATAATAATAATAATAATAATAATTATTATTATTATTATTATTATTTAAATAATAGGTTATAAATGATTCAGTGAACATTCTGAAAAAAAGTAAATATTGGGGAAACAAGCAATAATTACTTCACAAACAATAACAATATAAATGATATAAATAAATAAATGTATACATTTTTGGGTTTTTTTCTTTTTACTCATCTGTTTAATCTGTTGGTTTAATCGGTCACATCAATCTACAGTTGAAGTGTACATACGCTGTATAAAAAGGCACATAACAATTTAAAAAAGTCAGCTGTTAATGTGACTAAACTTCTCTTTTAGGTAAGTCAGGATGATCACATTAGTTTCTGTTCTGCTTAACAGCAGAATTATAAGAGAGAGATTTTGAGAAACGTTTCTTGAAAGTCAAGTTTACACACAATCAGATTATTCTGCCTCTGCAAAAGCTCAGATGATGATGTCAAGGTTTTGGAAGTTTCTGATTGGCTAATTGACAACATTTGAGTTAATGTGAGGCACAACTGTAGAATAGTATTGAAGGAAAAGCTCAAACACACTGCTTCCTTGTGTGACAACATGAGAAAATCAACAAGCCAGAATCAACAACAAAGCCAGATTACAATCTGCTGAATGACACTGGGAAAAAGAGTAATGCTTGGAGACATGTCCTGTGCTCTGATGGAGCTGAGATTGAACTGTTTGGCCGTAATGAGCAGTGTTACATTTGGAGGACAAAGGGGAAAACGCACAAGCCTAGAAACACCATCCCAACTGTGCAGTATGGGGGCGGCAGCATCATGTTGTGGGGCTGTTTTGCTGCAGGAGGGACTGGTCCACTTCACAGCATAGACGGCATCATGAAGAAAGAACAGCATGGAGAAATACTGAAGCAACATCTCAAGACATCAGCCAGGAAATTACAACTTGGCCACATATGGCTTTTCCAGACAGACCATGACCCTCAGCATACTGCCAAATGAGTTCAAATGTGCTTTAAGGACAACAGAGTGAATGTTTTGGAGTGGCCATCACAAAGCCCTGATCTCAACCCTATAGAAAATTTGTGGGCAGAGTTGAGAAAGCTTGTGCGAGCAAGACAGCCAACAAATCTGACAACCAAAATTCCTGCAAACTATTGTGAGAAGCTTGTGGAAGGAGACCCAAAACATTTGACCAAAGATATACAGTTTAAAAGCAGAGCTAAACAAATACTCAGGAAATGTGTGTAAATTTTTAACTGTCTAGAAATTAATAAAAAAAAATCTTTAAAAAAATCTCATTATTCTGGCATTTAGCAAATGTAAATCATTTAGGTAATCCTAAAATAGTAAATGTTTAGTATGATTTACCATCAACTTTTTTTTTTTTAAATGGTTATATTCCTTTTTTTAGAGTGTATGTGAATCTGTTTGTCTAGATAGATAGATAGATAGATAGATAGATAGATAGATAGATAGATTTTATGCACTTATATAATAATAATATAGTTCAGATGCAAAAACCTTTTAAGTACTATCTAAAATAAATTTTCTTCTAAACTAAGCGTTTTTCTCATGCTCCTATGTTGAAGTAATTTCACGTTTATTTACAAACAATAGGTCATTTTCATCATCTTTAACTAAATTATTGAACATAAACATAAGAGACTGAAAAAATGCTTATTGTAAAAGAAATCCTAGACAGCACTTAAGAGGATTTTGCATCTGAACTCTATATACATGTAATTTGATGCAATATTTATGCAAAAATAAAATTATGCCTAATGAAAAATATGCTTGTTTTAGTTTTGCATCTGAACTCTTCATACACACACACATATGTATATATGTATATACAGTTGAAGTCAGAATTATTCGCCCCCTTTGAATTTTTTTCTCTTTATTTTTATATTTCCCAAATGATGTTTAACAGATTTAAAAAAATTTCACAGTATGTCTGATAATATTTTTTCTTCTGGAGAAAGTCTGATTTGTTTTATTTTACCTTGAATAAAAGCAGTTTTTAATTTTTTTAAAAATTTTTTTAAACATTTTTATTTCTGATAGTCTACAGAACAAACCATCGTTATACAATAACTTGCCTAAATACCCTAACCTGCCTAGTTAACCTAATTACCCTATTTAAGCCTTTAAATGTCACTTTAAGCTGAATAGAAGTGTCTTGAAAAATATCTAGTCAAATATTATTTACTGTCATCATGACAAAGATAAAATAAATCAGTTATTAGAGATGAGTTATTAAAACTATTATGTGCAGAAATGTGTTGAAAAATCTGCTCTCTGTTAAACAGAAATTGGGTAAAAAAAATAAACAGGGGCGAATAATTCAGGGGGGCTAATAATTTTAATTTTAACTGTATATTTGTTTGTACACTGTAAAAAAATACTTAACCTAAAAAATAAAGTTCTGCTAAATTGTTGCAAACAATTTATTTATGTTGAATTTAAACAAACAAGTTACATTTCGTGATGTTTAAACTAATTTGTTTGTTTAAATTCAGCCCAAATAAATTTTTTACAACCACTCAAAAATCTTTAGTATATCCAAGGTATCATGTTTGAATCTTTTTTTTGTGTGCGTCTGTAGTTGTGCTGAATCAAATTAACCTTGTGAATAATTTGAACATATTTTATGGTAGATTGACTTAAAACAGCTTGTGTAACTTATAAAATTAAGTTAGAACATGATTAACTTAGTTTAATAAGTTACAAATAGCTCAAAACATGCTGTCCTCTATACACAAAAGACGTATCTGTAAATTAGCATTTTTTATAGTTAATGTTTTTATTTTTTCCCCATTTATTTCTGCTTTTGCGTTCCATTATTGGATCTTGATCTTTCTTCTAACAACTTTTAACCTTGAAAAGTTGTTAAAAGTGACTTTCATGAACATTTTTAATAGTTTGCAGTGCTAAATTGTCTGGTTATGTGTTGTTTATTAGGCTACAGACACCTTGTAATGGTCTGCCAGTACATTTTCTGTTATTTTACAGACTCATTTCTTTACATATTATTATTTTTTTTTATAAATTATAATATTTAAAACTTCTAAAATGGCACTAAAAGTCACTTTGTTAAACTGTAGAGTCCATCAAAAGTTGATAAAGCAGATATCAACATCCCATAATGCAATTCACATCTGCAAATAAACCCAAAACACACAGTAAAACATGCAAACTGTTGATTAAGAGATATTTTTCACAGTGTAGAATGATTTTTAGCTCGAGCGTCTGAGTAATCTGATGTTTATAGTGTTGTATTTTGCTCTTGTAAAGTGAGCTGCTGCTATAATTAGCGGTGTGTGTGTGTGTGTGTGTTTAATGCACACAGCAGCTGTGTGTGCTGGTCTGCTGGAAGGGCATCTCTGCTGCTGTTAATTGCAGTGATTTGAGTGTCAGGAGCATCTGCAGGCGGATCCGCTTTCTGGATTCAATAACAACACAGCCAATGAGAAAAGACCTTTTTTTTTTTCTCAGACGCCGCTAATGAGATTCAAACGGCTTCATAAGATCAGACGCCACTGATACACTCAGTCAACTGAATCCAATATAGCTGTATGCTTTTGTTTTTGCTTTTCTTTCGTTTTTTTGCAGTGCATAAAAGCAAATTGAGCATTAGTTATGATCATATTTATGATCTTTGTGAATGCATCTTGATAATAAAATAATAATTCATATATTACAAGTGAAAAATAAATAAATAAATGCTTAAATATAGCTGCAATTGTGTGTTTTTTTGCAATATATAAAAGTAAAATGAGCATCAGTAATAATCAAAGTTATGAGTGCATCTTAATAATTCATATATTACAAATTTGAATATAAAATGCTTAAAATATAGCTGCATTTCTTTGCTTTTCATATATTTACAATCCATAAAAGTGAGCATTAGTTATGAGTGCATCTTGATGATAAATTATTAATAATCCAGATGATACAAATCTAAATCAATTTCAATATCTAAATCAAATAATGCCTCCAACATAGATACATTTGTATTGTTCTTTGCAATACTTAAAAGTAAAGTGAGCTTTAGTTATGATCATGTTATGATCTTTTTGAGTGCATCTTAATAATAAAATATGAATAATCCAGATTTTACAAATTTTGAAAACGATAATACTTAAAAATATATTTGCATTGTCATGCTTTTATTTT